CAAGAGGATTAAACTTGATCACATCCGACGTCAAGTCTTTCCGGTATTATACTGGGACTATATGCCCAACCAATTCGGCTAGAAGGAACCCTTTTTTCTCCCTGGAGCTAGAACAGTTGCAAGAGGTACGGAAGCGGGAAATATGATTTAGGCTTAGTTTTGGCTCACAATTCACAAACTTTGGTCAGACAGCTGATGCTGGCCTGAATGGCAACACGGTTAGGATGTTGCTGGGGTCTAGCTCCGGTGGAAGAATTGTCCGGCCCGCCCCCACTCCTTCGTCACTCTTTTTTTATTCATAGTTTATTCAGCTATCCAGCCACGATACCTTTATTTTTCTTCATTACTCGTTCCCAGGTGTGATCGGCCGTCTCCCTGATAGATCGCTTCTGGGCTATACCCAGATCATTGTCGGGCTTGCCCTTGGCGACAGGCCCACTAACAGGCCCAGTCAATCTTGAATCTACGTCGGGACACAGGTCGATTCGATCTAGGCTCTTTGACGCTTCAAGCGGTACCTAGCAACTTCATTCCCGCATTAGCCTAGCCATCGCCATAGAGGTTCAATCAGTGGAGCTCCGCATCAACGGATGTCGGCTCCTAGATCTCCTCCCCTTGCCATTACTAAAGCTAGCACGAGCCACATGTCTTTAAGCGATAAGGAGGAAACCATTGAAATTAGGCTCCTCGCAATCTTTCCATCGATCGCCGGGCTAGAGCGGACAATAAGGACGTTTCAACGATTAAGTATTTGAGGAATCTGACGCAGTCATCTTGTGCTGATAGAGCCAGCAATGACACCCGACATCTGTCAGTCCCACGCCGCGCAGTGTTGATCCGGATGGTGACGATCAGTAATTTGACCTCTGCCCATGGCGGCTACAGCTGGACAAATTTAGATGACGTCATTTTATCGTTGTGTACATAACACCGATAGATCTGACAGAAACCAGGCTGTGAACCAGATTATCAGGCCCTGTTTGAGCATGAATAGCTGGTGGTATTATTTCAGATTACCAAGCTCAGCAGCATGGGCGAGACACAGAAAAACCAACATCATTTAAAGTACTTACTTATGCTCAACTCGTGGTCATGAACCCTTTGCCCAACATGCGAAGTCCGCTTCCCTCGCGGACAATATCTAGGTAATATCACCAAATTTGTTTGAAGCCACGACTTACCGATTTGTGCAGCTTCACTTAACCGTCTTGGACGATGTCAATCATGCCACCAAATTGTGCAGATCAAGGGAGCTCGCTCAACGCGCTCCGATGCAAGTGGGACGAAGCACAGCCATGCATGCAGCCGTTGCGAAAGAACTTTTAAGATGACCAAGATAACGCTATAGATGGACAATGTCTCAGAAGAGAGGAGTTTTCGAATGTTGGGAACGAGTTTTGAAACATTGAATAGCAGTAAAATGTTTTGAATTTCTCCTTGGCGGATACTCACGGACAGGGATCAACAATGAAAAATGAACATATATACTTCCTAGCCATGTTTGCGAGTGACATGCGGAGTATGAGCATCCCTTGAGTCGCAAGAGTCGTCGTAGACACACACGAGATATAGGTCGTGTGACATAGTTACATAGCTATGCATGGTGCAGGTGAGTGTGAAAAAAAAGCAGTACTATACTTCGGTACAGATGAGCAATCTATTACCCTTTGTTCTTGAAGATTCCTCCACTTGAGCAAGATGAACATTTGCCTTCTGTGGCGGCTATCTCTACCATTTTATGTCAACATTACGGTTAAGAAGCGATCTGCAGGCCAAATTTCATAAGAGCACACCAGATGCGAGAGAATTTCGGTGCATCTGCTCGTATCCTGCGGTGAAGTTATGGCAGCCCATGTCGCCAAGCATGTCAAAGCCTACCTTGCACAGCGTTCTCTGGGTCTCGATGTTGAAAGAGGGCGCCCCTCGTAAATACGAGCAATGCATCTACTTGCTGGTGAGGACATAACGGTCACAGGTTATTTTATTCAGCTCAAGACAGATGATGACAAAATGGGATCTGCAATCCGTCATTACTGGGGACCTCATTGACGGCTTTAAATAACAAGGTGACCCCTACCGCATAGGCCAACTGTTTCTGCAAAAGGCCTGCATATTAGACAAAAGGTAAAAAAGAGCGTCACTAACTTCCTCAAGAATGGGTTTGGTATCATTCATAGCGATATTAGGCAAGATCAGTAGAAGCAGTATCATGCAGCAGAGAGGTTGCATGGTGCAGAAGAACAACAACAGTTGAGCTGTTTTTCCACACAACCCCGAGGGTACTCGGGCTTTTTTCAATCAAACTGGGCGCTTGTAGGCGTTGTCCGAATTAAAATCAACCACAACGTTTACTGTGAGGAAAAAGCAGAGCGGGCGTATTCACGATCTCACGGAGCCTTGAAGGATGTACAGAAACTAGCCATCTCCTGATGTGGCTAGGGAACGAAAGATGCCGAACGGTCTTCTATCGAAGCTGGGGACCTGGGCAGGTTGAGCCGTGCAACACGGAATGATAATAGGAGTCATGAGCTAAGACAGTAGCTGAGATGTATGTGCAGGTCGATGAGTAGAGGCACACAACTGCGCCATTATTTGGCGCTTGGACTGACTTAACTGTGGACAAATTGAGGATTATGGTAGCTAAAGGAATAGGCCAGTCGTGACAGTCTGGCACTCTACCGCCACTCACAGCGATGGAAGGTATATACTTTCTACCCGCTCTAATCGTAGCAACTCGCATACTGATACACACCTCGATGTACACGAGTGATTGAGATGGGTAGAAGTGTATATACATATTCTCTCCAGCATACTTTTGAGTGGGGACTCGATTCAAATGGGAAGCAACTGCAGAGTTATAGCAGAGAACAACAAGTCAGTAGTGCTTTTCCACTGAGACTACCCATCCCCCCTTAGCTGCACTCACAAATGAAATCTAATTCAGAAAAAGAGAGCCATTTTCGACGTGATGTGGAGCAGCTATTGCCACTATTCAGCTCATCTTTTGGCGAGAGTCTAAAAATCCTTTCCGCACCTCCCAATCAATTATCAACTTGTCAAGTACCTCACGTGCTAAGCTAATATTTCAAGCGGGCGGCCCGCTGTCCTGGTGCCTGGCCGCTGTTGTTATTACTGTACGAGTAAGGTGATAGGCTAATAACCCCAAGTCCGCTTTATGTGACCAATTATGGTGTGTATATTTGCAAACTCCATGACGCTGCGGCGCTCAGCGCTCGTTGATACAGATGGCTAATCTCGTGCAGAAGTGCTCAGACGCTGGTAGTGGGGCCACAGGCTCGCAGCACTAAAGGGAATCGGCGCTTCAGCCCATGCGCGTTGGCGCAGGTGGCCGCCGCGCTGGGCTGCATGGGGAGATGTCAAAAGGTACGAAAGCTCCAATAAGACTGGCTCCCTCATAGCGGTTTGGTGGGGGCAGCGGTGATGGTTATGACCAGAATCAGTAGCCACCCCGCCGTGGCGACAGTGGTAGATCCTCAATCCATAACTCATGGGCCTTGTTGAGATGCGGAGGAGCCAATCACAGCGATGCCATCGCAATCTCTTGTGTTCGCCTACCCTACATATCCAGGCTCTCGCACACTCGTGCAGACAACGGCGAACCTCGAGCGGCATCTCCCACTATTCGCCCTCGAGCCGGGCCAAGCAAATGCCGAGGACCGAGCTGGTCACGCATGCGCAGGTCACGTCTCCCGAACTCGGCTGGTTGTAAAGGTTACGGGGCATTGTGTTGCCGTTAGCCCTTGACAGGGATCTATGGTAGGTATTATGTAAGCATTTACCGCGTGCTTGCGCTTGTAGTATCTCCTAGAGTGCCAGAATGATTACTCATAATCGGCTTGGAGTTAGCTCGTGCTTAGGGATAGCAGGCATGCTCTGTGGTTGGAATCTACGCAAGGTTGACCCTCTCTAGACACTGGCCGTCAATTTACACTCGCCGTCTCCAGCCATTATCCCTGTCGCGCCGCAGTCGTGAGGACCAACGCTTCCAGATTGCTTCCCGAGACGCCCAGGCAGCTGCTGCCGGCGGGGGGCATTCTTATTCACCCACACGTCCACGCCGCCAACAAAGACACATATGAGCCCTGAGAGACGACGCTCGTCATGTTGCTCCAGCTATCGGCATGCGAGATGAGAGGACGGAAGCTGAGATGGGGCCATTAGATCGTCCTCCCGAGCATGGCGGCGACCATTCTGTCCCAAACCAGGAGTCAATGTCAGCGCGACGGGTGGCTTGGTAAGACGCCGACCGTCGCCCTCTCCTCGCACGTAGATAGGGGGGGCTCAAGTCTCATGGCGGCTCCCGCGTCGAAGCTAGACGCAGGTCGCTCGTATTCGTCACGCCGGGCAAAGGTCAGGAACGAACCGACCAATCTTCAACGGCGTCTGAGAGACGAGCTTGCGCAGGAGGACGGGCGCAATGGCAACATCCTGGTCCCTGACCCCACCGCGGCTCTGGTGACCCGGCCGTGTCTCGCTCCGCCATGAGCTATACGACGCCTTTGCCTTCGGGCTCAGACTCGCCGTCCACCTCAAGGGCAAAGGATATTTGTGTCTCGTCCTCTCGTGGGCCGAGAAAGCCACGGGCTCAGTACCCCCCTCCCCGCATTTAGCCGCGCTGGGGGGGAGGCGTCGCTAAAGCGCAACACGTCGAGGCCTCCTGGACCGGCAATGACTCCCCAGTCGCTCAACCCCACAGGGAAACTGCAGGGCCCCAGCCCTAAGCTAGGAAATACACTAGACGGCGAGAAAAAACAAAGGGACGAATCCGAATACGACCATCGTACACACCATTCATCCCCGTCCAACCGAATCTTCAGCTCACAGACAAACACCTAACAAGTCTCATCACTCGAAATGTTTCCTCGTCTTCATATAAACCTGCCGTCGCGCGTCGACTGGTTTGGTCAACACAAGCATCTTGCCTCTCCGACGCCTAGTCCATCTTGTCAATATCTCAGCCAACGAGGTATTCCCATGAAATGACGTCCTTTACATCATCCTCGCTTCAAAAACTCACCACCCAATCGCCCATCCTCTTGGTCCTCGTAATTTCTCTTATATTCGGCTCCATCTTTCAGCTCATATTTCGCCGCACCAAAAAACTCGACTTTCCCGTGGTGGGTAACGCCCGCGATCTCGACTTTCGCAATGCCATGAAAGAGGGCGTGGCTAGAGTAAGTCATCACTGGCTAGAGACGATTACGACTGAGGCTAAGTCGGCTCATCTAGTACCCTGACTGCCCCTTTGTTATACCCAGCAATCCACCCACAATTGTCCTCCCCAAAATCTCCATAAATGACGTCAAGGGTTTTCCAGAGAGCAAGGCCTCTTTCAATGAACACGTCAGCCGGGAATTTCACCCTCAAGTCACTGGTCTCGGAGCAAGTGATGTTTCGCGAGAGTTCGTTGCCAAAGATTTGACGCGTTTCGTCGGTGCTGCTCTACATGTCCTGCAAGATGAAACCACCTACGCTTTCAACAAAGAACTCGGCTCATGCGAGGAGTGGACGCCTTTCGTCCTGTATAGTTTCACAGCCCGCGTTGTCGCATTATTGAGTGGCCGTGTCTTTGTTGGCTTGCCCCTAAGTCGAAATGAGGAATGGGTGAACACTAGCGTTGACTTCACCTCCTACGTTATGAAGTTTCGTGATGCCTCGCAGAAATTGCCTCTATTATTACAGAATCTAGTATTGCCTTATATTCGAGAAACCCGACAGCTCAAGCAGCTACAGCAAAGAGCCGCCACCCTATTGCGTCCCACCCTCGACATTGAAAGAGAGCATAATGATGGCGAGAAGACGTTGGGTCTGGAGAACTCTTCTTTAAAATGGCTAATTTCCCGCATGGATCCTCGCCATCGAGACGACCCTCTCTCTATCTCAATGCTACAGTTGGAACGTGAGTCGCGGTGCTGATGATTTCGCGGAGAAGGAGAGAGAATCTAACTACCATCAGTTTCATTTGCTGCCATTCACACATCAAGCATCACTCTGACGAATGCAATTTTCGATCTTGCCGCTTACCCTGAGTACATTCCCATACTCCGCGAAGAAATTCAAGCTGTCATGAAGGAAGACGGTTACGATCAAGCCAATGACGGAACCTGCAAGCTACGAAAGCCTAGTATTCCCCGACTTGCTAAGCTAGACTCCTTCCTCAAGGAATCGCAACGTGTCAATCCCCTAGCAATCTGTATGTTATGGAAGCTATTTTGTTTATCTCCAAACACCTCCACTAACTACAGCCAATAGCAAGCCACACTCGTATCACCACATCTGATGTAAAACTGTCCACTGGCCATGTAGTTCCAAAAAATACCCGAATATCCATACCCTCCTGGGTTATCCATAACGAGTCTGAGGCGCTCAGATCTGTCGAACATACGAAGCCGCTGAACGAATTTGACGGACTTCGTTTCTATAATCTACGACACATCCCTGGGAATGAGAACCGACATCTCTTCGTCAGTACGTCTCCCGATAGTCTATCCTTTGGTTACGGAAATCACGCTTGTCCTGGTCGCTTCTTCGCCAGTAACGAGATCAAAGTTATTCTCATAGAGGTTCTAACCCATTGGGATCTACGCTTGCCAAATGACGCAAAGGTAGAGGGTGGAGCGTGGCGGAGGCCCAAGAATTTCTACAAAGAATACCTATGTTTTCCAGATATATCGGCTAAGATCGAGATGAGGAGGCGAAGACAATCTTGATCTGTTTGTAATTATCATTATTTGCTGGCACATTCTTACAAAAGATATTCTTGCTTTTCCAATCCACATGATAAGCTAAGACGAATGCCGATTTTATGGGCCTAGAATCACACCAGAGAAAGCACAAGTACCCTCTGGTCGATCTGTTGCGACAAGTCTCACGCACGAGACTCATCTGCTTACTCCCACCATCATAGATGGAGCTGGGAAAGCAAGAAGCTTCAGGCGCGGATGACGACAAGGGTCAGAGAACGGGAGACAAGAGTTGAAGCCATTAGGACACAATCTGAGTAGTGATAACTTCAAAACAATAATCAAATTGGTCGGTAAGGCGTACATAACTGAATTTTTTTCCCCACCCTTTCGAAGTTGCCCTTGTTTATTAGTAATCTTTGATTGATACCGGCAACAGGCAGTCTCCTCCTATACCATACTAGCCTAACCCACTGCTTCATTTGAAGTAGCTACATGCGGAGTAACCGATCAACTTTCTAAGCTTGAAACGACAAGATATGTCAGCACCCTTTTATGAAATGGTGGAAGGTGGCCTAGAGAACCCTTATGATCATCTTTAGTTATGGAACGGGCTTGTTTCCACTTCCCTAAGAAAGCTCTCACATGCTGTAGGTGAGACTGAAGTAATAATGTAGAGATGCGTACCTTACATTTGTATCCTGGCGTAGCTAGGCTGCGCACTCGCGCTAAACGAGCACGGACTCGCTTAGCCACCCCATGCCGACTATTACTAGGCGTAAACTGTAGCCCCTACCTCCCACCCCTCAAAGCTTGGCCGTTAGCCGGCAACGACGATCTCGGCTACTGCAATGTCTATCATACCCAGCAAATAAACAGACCAGACCGTGTGTGCGACACCTCTTGTTTTACCAATGCTACGTACTCACTCTTTAATTCGAATTCGATGTTTAAGATGATGTTGCCATATTTTCATGTCCCGTGTAGTCCAAGACCGAGTACGTGCAGTCACTTTCTACTCAAAGGTCGGTAGTAGATATCTCTTTACAATCTCTGCTCAGGTTCAACACTAACTCATGCCCTCATTAGGGCTTTTCCCTCAATATCTATAAGAACAAATTTTGACATATTTCAAAATTTAATTTCTCAAACTTAATTAGAATCTTTAGTTAGATTCACAAAGTCCTCCATAGTCTTAGAATCAGTAGGGGCTATAATAAAAAATCCAATCTAATCATGCCCCCATCGGAGTACATATGTGGCTTCTGATTGATCAGTTTATGATCACAATGATTTCACGCAGGTGTCTCGTGGCTCCGACTAATCAACAATGTTATGTGAGTAGAGCTTGAGACTAATGATACGTGAATTGATTTCTACAATACAGGATTGCCGATTTATTTAAATATTCCCCCGCACCACGTGAGCCAATCAACAGCGCACAATGTGCACGGTGGGGTTTCCATCAATTGGGATCCACACATACACACGTGGAGTCATTATCCCATTGTCACGGAGACGTTGAGTAATGAACATAATTCGGGAGATCCCCCTGCCAGTGAACTTGAAAGTTAGATGACATGACAAAGCTGATGAATGGAAATCTTCTGTGCTTGAGAAAGAGAGGAAGTTTGACTCTGCTTTTGGACGGTTTATTTACACGCGGGTTGATAGAACATGCTGCAACGTGATGGGGTTCTTCCAACCACTAATCAAGCGTCAAGCGTCAAGTGCTCTTATATCCCTTATCTTGGCTTGCGTCACTATCGTAGGGGTAATTTTAAGTGTGCTCAAAGAGGAAGAGGGACAACTCGGCTAAAAGTTGAAACGATATGCGACAGCACAGAGCGGGCTGAAAGTCTTTGGGTAATTGACCAGCAGCTTCGACACCCATCTCACATGCCATTTCACATTTAAAAGTTGACGATATATCTATGACGTGGCTCTTCAGTAAAGGAACCATGATGAAGAATATTCTTGAGCTGTCCCACGACAAGTCTCGCTAATGGTAAATTCCCGTCGAGTTAAGCAGTACCAATACTTGTCACTAATTGCCGTGGAGCGTGCCGCGTACCCGGGGAAAAAGAGTGATAATAAAACGGACCCGGAATTCACCGAGGCCGTGATACCTCAGGAGAGGATGGCTAGCCTGAGATCTAATACTTTGCTCCGAGCCTCCGTCAAGTACGGTCATCTAATGTCGAGTGAGAAAATAACAAAAATAACGCTCACTTCAGCCTGTCATACTAATGGAATTGAGTGCGTGAGCGCCCATTGGCACAGCGATATAATTCCGAGTACTGTAGGAGATGGTAGACTGAGAATAAGTCAAACAGAGATCCCCTTAAAGACTGAGCGAAAAGCCACTGGATCGTTCCCCATTGTTTGCGATAGATTTGATTTGGCTGAGGGTAGCTGAAATCAGCGCAAATATCCAAAAACAGCCGGATTAACGAACTCTGGGAGCATGGCGATCCGAGGAAGTCGGCGAAAGACAAATAGCCTAGCAACAAGTAACCTAGTCACGAGACGCAAATTGACGGGGCTGGCAGCTACAGTTTTAGAGGCTACACATTGCTCCCAGACGAGAGGACTTTTTCCAGATTCGGCGAAACGTCTTCGCGAAGAAATACTATCTAGAACTGGGCAATGGGTATGATCAAGGAAGCGCATGGATTGGACCTATAAATAAAGCTAGAGCCGCTTTTTGATACGCTTTACCCTCTTAAACCACTGCAGATGCTGGCAAAGAGGGCTCCAAGTGAAATAATACCTCACTACCAAGTCCAGAGGCAAACAAGTTCTGGGAGAACAACTCGAACCTCCAAGGTATTCGAGGAATAAAACCTTCATACATTGTTGTCCTGGTGATGGCCGAGAAACAATGCGCAAGGAGAATAATCACTGGGAGTGAAGGAAAAACTCTACGAGTAATTTTATGATCAGTAGACGAATAATGGAGCACTGTATGGGAACTATCTCTAGACTATACTACCAGATAGAAGGTACTAGAATATCCCCTGACGTCGCTTTGGCAAAATAAGGCGAGAGTCTAGCTACCTCAAATGTATATATAAGAAACCTTTTCTTACTCCAACTTCTTTACAGTTCTGAAGATCAAATTGTGAGCACTTTAAATAAATTTGTTCATTCATTTCGCTAGTATAACGTCCTATGCGGTGTCTATATACAGAACCATGAACACGGTAAGCCGTTTTGGTCAGGGAAAAATCTTTTAATAAAACAAAACCTACTGTCCTGTCACTCTGAACCAATCCGGCTTAATGCCGAGGACGTTGCTTAACCATTATTTCATAAAATTTCACCGATTTCATGAACTACTCCTTCGATCAGACTATTACTGGGAGAAATGAAAAGACAAGGCACCTCCTCACTCGGCGTTGGTCGATGAAGTGTCCGAAGAGTCGGGCCTGATGGTGGGGTGACTGTCGCGGAGATGTTTGGTGCCGTTGGGGCTTCGATTACCTTCTGTGGTCGTCCCGGCCCTCTTTTGAATCCTTCAGCTTTCTTACTGGTGACCAAAGTGAATTCCTGATCATCCGTTATTCGAACTGTTGGTTTGGGTTTCGCTGGAGATTTTTCATTCCAGATATCCGCCGTTTTTGACAGAAGCTCCATCCGAGCCTTGTCCACACTTCCCTTTTAGATTTGGTAAGTCCGACACGCTGCTTTCTGCCGTGAACGGTGTTCCCTGCTGAAATTTGCGCAAGAACCCTTTTTCCTTGAACAGTCCAGAATTCAGTGAGTGCCAGCGTACTCACCGCACCTGGCTACCTTTCCACACGACGCCTATGTGTGTCCCCACTAACTGCAGTTAAAGCGCTGCTTTGGTTGAGCCTGTGGTGACCACACTTGAGCGGTGAAGAGCATGGCGTTAATTACGAGGCCATGTCGGGCCACTTTCAATTGCATTGCCTCCGATGGGAGGCTAACCAGAATTGATCCACGGGTGCGGTCATTTTTCTTTTACCGCTGGTGTTTCTTTCATTCATGTAACCGCTGTATTTTATTAATTGTAAGGCTGGAAATCCGAGCCCGAGTCATCGTCTCAATCTCTCTGATTATAGCGTAGATTTCGGCATCTCTGCCGGCCTAAATTCTCATCCTCGGTGGGACTACGGAAACCTCGACAGGAATATATTGCCGCAAATTTTTGAAGTTGCTTGGTTAACACATGTTAAGCGCCTGGTCTCTCTGAGACGCCGACTACACAAACACCTCAGTGTCGTTGCTACGCATTTGACGAATTGTGTATGCACCTTGAATATGCTCTTTTGCCTTTGATAGCAGCTCTTCAGGTAGAAATTTGTCTGCTTCATCGATTCTAATTCGTACTGCCGTTTTCATCATTTTTGAAGCTACGACCGACGCATAGGTTCTTGTTGGCGGCACCCCCGATACTACTCATGGAGCAGTATTGCGAACGGGATCTGCGAGGTTATTTTTTACAACCTCCTCGAGCGCCATTATCCTCTCCTCAATGGGAGACGGGATCTGGGATGCTGCTGTCTAGGCCCTCTTGTGACAGTTAAAAGCCTTCATGGCTTCGCTAATACCCTTCATCTCGCTCATCTCCATTAATGTCGTAATATTTCCTATGGATTCTTTGTTTGAGGTAATGTTGGAAATGGAAACACGGAGTGTTGTGGACGTAAGGGCCCTCCATTTCGTCCACGTTCCCGACACGATCTTATGTGAATTTGAGAGGTTGGAGTAGGTAATATGGTAGCGCTTCAGGCTACCTGTTAGAGACATGAGCGGCTGTATGGCGTGGGCGCAAGGAGGTTATTGGGGATTTTCTATGTCTAGATGGCGCCACACTCGTTTATGCTGTGGCTTAGGCTCTGTGTCGCTTACACTTGTAATTTTTTTTTGAATCATTTAATGTGTATTCAGCTATCTAGCTATGACACATGACCGGTGCTATGTATGTATGTGGGATGACTCTTTTGACGTTAGAGACACTCATACTTTGGTTTTAATTCGCAAATACCACTATGAGGTAT